GAAATGAGCAAGATACAAGCACAAATGTGCTTGAATAAAACTAACAAAAATGAAGCCACAACAACTCAAAATGAAGAACCACTTGAGCAGGATGCTAGAAGATTCACTAGAATAAGGACTGAGTCGACAAGGCTAGCTGGATATGAGTTATTTCCAGATCAAGCAATAAGTGCATATGGTGACTTATAGGAGAAGTGATGATGATGATTGAATCAGAATCAATTGATTTGGATCAAGCTATAAATGATTCAAACTGGTTGGAAGCCATGCAAGAAGAACTCAGAGAAATTGAGAAGAACAAGTTATGGGAGCTTGTGGAAAAATCAATCAAGAATCCAATTGATGTGAATTGAGTCTACAAGTTGAAACTAAGGCCAAATGGTGAAATTTCTAAGCATAAGGCAATACTAGTGGCAAAAGGTTTTCTAAATAAAACTAGCATTAACTTCGACAAAGTCTATGAACCTATTGCAAGGTTGGAAACCGTCATAATTATTGTGTCGACTTTAACATAAAAAGGGTGGAAGATACATCAATTAGATGTAAATTCGCTATTTTTGAATGGACCGTTGGAAGAAGAGGTTTATGTTAGTCAACCACGATGATTCAAAATCAAAGGGCAAGAGCAGAAGTTGTACAAATTGAGGAAGGCTATATATGGCTTAAAGAAAGCCCCAATTGATTGGAATAAGAGAATAGATGGCTTCCTGATCAAGGCAAGTTTCACAAAATGTGTCTCAGAACACAGAGTGTATGTCAACAATGCGAGTAGGCTCAATCGAGTTATTTTATGCTTGTATGTGGATGACTTGTTTATCACATATGTAGATGAAGCAAAAACAAAAGGAGTTAAAGTTGAATTGATGCAAGGATTTGAAATGTATGACGTAGTGAATTTGTCATATTTTTTAGAGGTGGAGTTTAATTACACGAGTAAAGGAGTGGTCTTGCACCAAAAGAAGTATGCTCAAGACATCTTGAAAAGGTTAAAGATGAGAAACTATTATGAAACTGTCACATCGTTGGAGACAAGAGTAAAATTGATAAAGGATATAAATGACGAGTTTGTAAGTTCAACACTATACAAGCAAATCATTGGATCCTCAAGGTATCCATGCAACACCAGGATAGACATTGTCAAAGTGTCGGGTTGTTGAGTAGATTCATGGATAAAACCCAAGATTATCATCTAATTGTAGTTAAGAGATTGCTAAGATACATAATGAGTACATTGATCATGAGTTGCTGATGTCAAGGCAAAAGAATACCAACACAAATGCAAATATACATGGCTACACTCAGGGACGAAGCCAAGAGTTTTGTAGTGTGGGGGAAATATATATAATATTAAAAATAAATTTAATTAATATGAGTGGTCCTTTTATAAATATTTCACATATACATTCAATTGTATTTCAATATTATATTATTAATCAAATATTTTTATAAATATTTATATGATAAGATATATTTGAAATTTATTTACAATATGTTACATCATACCAAACAATTATACTCTTACTAATATAAATAATATCTTATAATTTAATTATAACCTATATTGCTATATGATATATGGTTAGACCCAATTTTATCTATCGTCGAAGCTAAAATTACAAACCATATATTGGTTAAATTTAAGTAAAAACATTACATTCTTTATAAAACATACATCATTACATAAACAAGTTTTATGCAATTGTCCAGTTACATTACATTATAAAATATATGGACTTAATTTTTTGTGGGGGGCAGATGCCCATATACTCGTACACGCAGATATGTCCCTGACTACACTTATTTAGATTTCAATGGAGATCAAGATGAGAATAAGATTACCACAGACTGCATATTCATGGTTGGAGTTGCTCCAATCTCTTGGAGCCCAAGAAAGTAAAGAATTATGGAATTGTCATCTTGTGAAGTTGAAGAGATGTTACTCGAAGAGTTCAAGATCAAGGAACCTAAGAAAATGAAGTTGTTTATAGATAACGAGTCAGCTATCGACCTGGAAAATCATCTTGTGTGTCATGGTAGGAGTAAACATATAGAGAGGAGGTGACATTTCCTTAGGGATCAAGTAAACAAAGGAAAACTCGAACTTGAGCTGCAAGTCAGAATGACAACTAGCTGATATACTCACCAAACCCTTAAATAAAGTAAGGTTTGATGAGCTGAAGAGAAGCATTGGGATAAGAAGCCTTGAAAAACATGAATAAGGTGGTATGTTATAATTTAGTAATTTATTGTTTTAGTATGCAAGTATGTATTTGAAAAGTTTGTATTCGTCAGAGTCGAAGTTAGCTGAGTACATATAATTGTCGAAATATGTCAGCATGTATTCGAGATAGTAGAATACATCATGTAATAAGTCAAGTATGTTACTTGCCTATAAATATACATGTGATGATGTGAATAATAATAAACTCTTTTCATTATACAATCATCTTTCACATTGCTCTTTCTCACTTCTTCATTTTCCCTTTTACCTAATTGTTCCAACAAATGGTGGATTTTGTTATACAAATATGCCATAAAGAGTTATCAGAGGTGTCATAATATTAAAATTGATACCTTGATGTCCTTTGATACGGATCATATATATATATGATGGACAACACTTTCTTTTTCTAGATCATTGCTTACTATAGACAACAATTTCTTCAAGAAGTTGACTGAGATTCAAAAATCATTGAATATGTGGATGAATAATGATGATGACACGTTGAAGAAGATGACAACAAAAATGCAAGAAAAGTTTAACAAATATTAGGATAGTGGTGAGATAGTTTTTTTTACTATTTGTGGCTATTTTTCTTGATTCCTATTATAAGTATGGTTCCATTGAATTTTGCTTTGAAAAGTTGTATGAGGTTGACAAGTGTAAAGAGGTGATGAAAAATTTATTTGATTTTGTGAAAAAGTTGTTTGAACAATACATTGGTAGATTATTCTATTTCTATTGAAACTTGCGCGTCTAGTATGATATCCTCAATTGTTGTTTCCTCTGAGGCTAATGGTAGAAATGTTGAGGAGGAGGAATGGGAAAAATCAATTTAGATTGAATATGAGAATAAAACAATGTGATGTTCAAAGAAATGAGTTGAAAATATATATAGAAGATGGTATTGAGGAAAGTGTGATTGGTTTTGACGTTTTGAAATGGTGAAAAGGGAAAAGCAAATACGTATCATGTTATTTCCTGTATTGCTAGACATGTTTTGGTAATTCCAGTCTCTTCAAGATCCTCAAATCCTGTGTTCAGTAGTGGTGGTCGAGTGCTTGATGCATTTCGTAGTTCCTTGAATCCCTCCATAGTTCAAGCTTTGATATGTTCCTAAAATTGGATTAAGTTTCCAAAGGAAATAGATTTTCAATCTGAATTGGATGAAGAAGAAAAGATTGAATTAGGTATATTTATTTGTTTATAACTTTTCAGCTTTTTAAATTTTTTACTTTTAGTTGTTGAAAATTATGAGCTAATGTGATTTTGTTAATAATTCTAGAGTTGTCCCAACTAGCTTTAGATAATGATGGAGTTACAAATGTTGTTGGTTGTAACACATGAAGGTAATTTAATAATTCTTTTAGCGTTGTCTTAATTTAAAATATTTGTTATAACTTTGTTGTTGTAGTTAATTAACTACAACAAAAAAGTTATAACAAATATTTTAAATTAAGACAACTCTAAAAAAAAAATTAAATTACCTTCACGTGTTACTAATATGTTACTGTTGTTATTTTATAATTTTGGTGTTTGTTTGTTGTTGGATGTCATATGTTACGACTTTGGTGTTTGTTTGTTGTTGTTGGATGGTGTCTCATGATGATTTGGTGTTTGTTTGTTGCTATTGGATGTTGTCTCGTGCAATTTTAATGTTGTCTCATGTTGTTTTGACCATAGTTTTTAATATTTTGTATGCATTATGATGCTATTTTAAATTGATTTGAAGTATATGTTGAAATATTATGAATTTTGTATGCACTTTGCTCTTCTTACTTATTATATAGTCATATTTTAATTTGACTTGTGATGGTTCTCTATTGTATGTAATTTGTTTTAGCTTGTATAAAAAATATGGCGGGATATGTATGAATTTGAAGTGATGTTTTATAGTCACAAACTTTTAGTTTTATGATATGGATGGGATTATGGACTGAGTATGCCGTAAAATTGTTTTATGTTATTGAACATTTAAGTGTAATACAACAGCTATATGACTATGGTGGTCATAACTTGTCATGACTCATGAGTAGAGTATTGAGAGGAAAGATATTAACTTTATTTGTTGATAAATAATCACATATGCCAATTAACAGCTTGATGTATTATGATGCAACCATGTTATGCTCAGATTGATTCCTATCTCAGCCCTAATTTATAGACCTTTTTATAGTTTATATTAGACTATTACTAAGTTTTAATTTGTTTAAAAGATTTGTGTGTCACAAATATCATTGTAACTTCTACCATCATATTTTGACTTCTCTGTTTTATCAAAATCTTCAATAGTTTGGTCTTCAAGAAATATCACATCACAACTTCTGATAATTTTCTTGTCAACTAGATCCCACAATCTATAACCAAACTCTTCATGACCATAACCTACAAACACACATTGTTTAGATATTTTGTCAAGCTTGGATCTATCATATATTGGGATGTGAACAAAAGCCCTGCAATCAAACACTCTCAAGTAACCAAAAAGATATCATCATCAAGTGGAACAAAAGGAGAAAGATTGATAAAATCTACTACAATTGTCAATTCTTCACCCCTTAAAGGCCTTTGATAACTTTACATGAGAGAGCATACACTTGATTCTGTCATTAATCATATAACCCATTCTCTCTACAACTCCATTATTTTGAGGCGTCTTTGAAACAATATTATCAAACTTGATTCCATTATTATGTAGTTCAAATTGATATAGTTGAAATTGATATAGTTTAACACTTCCACTCCATGTGTTCTTTTGGTTCTGCTTCTGTTGCAGACCTTAGTTACTGGCAGGCGGAGGAGTGGCATTGGGGGGCTTCAGAATTTCTGAATCCCATTCTTCGGGAGTTTCGGCCAGTCTGCTAGCACTTCGGCATATTCTGGCTGTTGTTGTTCTGACTAGGTCTGGTTCTGGTGTGATCTCTTGGATTCGAAATTCCGCAGCATGTTATTCGGTTAAATGAAGCTACGAAATATTTTTAGAAATGCATGATCAATTTTCTCCCAGGATGGTATGCGAGAAAGCGTTCAAGCTGACTTGGAAAACTCTGGTTCCTTACCGCATCAAGGCTTTCGGTTGGAGAATCCTGCTTGATAGAATTGCTTCAAAACATCATCTCTTTATTAGAGGTATGTTTCAATCTCTTGGTGATCTCGCTTGTGTCTATTGTGCCATCGAGGTCGAAAGTACGAACCATTTATTTCTGTCTTATAATTTTTCGAGGGTGGTATGGTGTAAAATTGCGGATCAGGTTAGTTTTAATTGGAGATTGGAGGAGAATATAGAGGGAAATTTGCTTGCTTGGATCGAATTTTTTAAGAAGAATAAGGTTAAAGTTGGCAATGAAGGTATAGTTTGGTTGGCCGTTTGTTGGGCTATTTGAAAGGCGAGAAACAATTTCGTTTTCATGAAGAAACTCTATTCAATTTGTGAAATGATCCTTCATCGGAGAAAATTTCAAATGTAACTTTTACGAATTTTCAAAACCTTTTTATATTATTTAGGTTAAGTTTTATTTAGATTTCAATTTTCTGTCATTATTTTCCGCCATCATTTTTTCTTTAGCCATTATATTCGGGCTTGAGTACCCCTACTACTCGGTTATAATATTATCTTGCTTTAAAAAAAAAAGTCAGACTTGAATAAAAGTTAGTCAACCTTGATCATGTGTGTATTTAGGACATGCCTATCTCACTGTCCATCTAATTTCTCATGACATAGGCTATAAAAAAAAAAGGAGTTGGAGTAAAGTTGAAGTTCACACTTGAAAAATGAGCAACACACTTAGGTATTTGAAATTAGAGTATCTATTTTTTGAGTGAAGATTCACAAGACTCCCGTCCAACAAAAAGCTAACACACACATGGCATTCATAATAATCGTAAATGTAGAACCAAAATAATTGCTTTTCCATATTTTGACATAGTGCCCACTGCCCACCCAACGTTCAATATAATTTATGTTATTTTATAATATTTTAGCACATATCCAACAAAACTGTTCTCTCTAGAACAAAGAACTACCATGAAAAGTGCCCATAATCTTTTAATAACAATGCTGTAAAGATAACTACTAAATGTAGGGGGCATTCTTTTTACCTTAATGTTAGGTACAAAAAAAGTGTGAGATCTATCATGAGCTTCCAAGGGGCATAATAAATAGGAAGATTCAGAGCAAAATTCGTAACCATATCTGAGTCTGTCCAGCCAGCAATTGTCTTTATTTTTTTTGGTAGGTGGACTCCAAAGACTCACCAGGATCAGGGCAGTCTCAAAGCTCAAAAAACACTTATAGAGATACTTAGAGATCAACAACCAAAAAGATCTTTATAGACTAATCTTAGTAGATATAAGTGGATTTTTGATCTTTATAGACACTTATAAGTGGATTTTATAGCTAACACAACAATTTTGAAAGAAGATTTGCTGATTTTTCCTGAATCAGACGCTCCGTCAAAGAGATTTAAGGTCTTTATCGGTTCATATTCTCGCATAAAACGAATCAAGTCCTCGGGGTATATAAACTTTCGATGCAACAAAAATGAAAGAAATGAATTTACATATAAAGGATTAATAAACAATATCATAAAATCAGCGTAATAATTTGCAACTAAGTTTCATCTCGGTCTACTATGAACACAAAAATGAAAATGTTTGGTTGTTTTCATAAACACTACTAATGTTGCGATTAGAGGGGACACACAAAATTCATTGAATCCATTTACTAAAAATTTATCAAATCCATCCACATAAAAGTAAGTTAATGGATACAATAAAATTCATCCATTTATATACATTGATAGATCTAATTCATAGATCTAATTCATCCAATTAATTATTTTTATCATATATTTAAAATCTATTAAATCTATTTTTTCAAAAACAATAAACTTCTTATTTTTTTATAATACGAAAAATCAATTTTTTATGAAAATACGAAAAATCAAGTTTTTTCAAGAATATAAAAAATCGAGTTTTTTCAAAATTAAGAAGAAAAAAACGAGTTTTTCCGAAAATATAAAAGATCGAGTTTTTTGGAAATACGAATAATCGATTTTTTTCAAAAATACGAAAAATTAAGGTTTTTTGAAAATACGAAAAAATTGAATTTTGGAACTACAAAAAATCGAGTTATTTCAGAAATACGAAAAATCAACTTTTTTCTTCGAAAAATCGAGTTATATTTCTAAAATACGGAAAACTTGAGTTTTTCCGAAAACACGAAAAAAATTATTTTTTTTCGAAAAGTCGAGTTTTTATAAATAAAAAATCGAGTTATTTAGGAAAATCAGATTTTTAAAAATACGAAAAAAGTCGAGTTTTTTTTGCGAAAATAAGAAAAATTGAGTTTTTTTCGAAAAATCGAAAAGGTTGATTTTTAGGAAAATATGAAAAATCGGGTTTTTGGAAATACGAGTTTTTTTGGAAAATTGAATTTTTTCGAAAACACAAAAAAATCGAGATTTTTCGGAAATATGAAAAAAATGATTTTTTTTTTTCCGAATGGAAAGTCGAGTTTTTTTTAAATACCAAAAAATCAAGTTATTTCGAAAATACGAAAAAAAACAAGTTTTTTTAGAAATACAAAAAATAACTTTTCCGAAAATAATAAAAAATCAAATTTTTACAGAAATATAAAAAATCAATATTGTTCAGAAATACGAAAAATCGAGTTTTTTTAAAAATATGAAAAAAGTTGAATTTTTTTCCCTTTTTTTAGATACAAAATATCGGTTTTATTTTTGAAAACGTAAAAAAAATATTCTATAAAAAATATTTTTTTAAAAATGAATATATTTCAATTATTTTTTTAAGACGGATGGATATCCGTTATTAAAATGATATTAATGATGAATTTAATGAATTTTTTTTTAATGAATAAATTAGATTGAATATTTTTTTAAAAAAATTAATAAATTATTTTAATCCTTAATTAATAATTCAATTCATATTCATCCAACTTGTCTATTTTGTCACCCTTAATTCTGATATAAAACTTAGATTTACAATGTCTCCGACAAACTAGCAAACGAATTACATAGCTGAAAGTTGTTATACCTACCGATTCTCTAATGCTCAAATTAGTGAAGTTGCAAGTGAAATTTTATGTTAGATATTATACTTAAAAGCTTAGAATCTAAAGGTCCTAAAATCTTTTTGGAGACAAATATCTGAAAATTATGCAAAATTTTGTCATTTGACACGTAATAAGGACAAAACGGTCTTAATTCTTTTAGGCTGTATTAGTCAATTTAATATGATAAAATAATTAAAAAATTTATTTAACCACATGTTACGGTAACAAATACTTTTAAAAGGTTCTGTTTATTTATAGTTTACCTGTGATAAATTTTAAATCATATACAATAGTCCATATTGTACAGAAATAAAATTGTCAACCTTGATCATGTGTGTACTTAGGACATGTCTATCTCACGGTCTATATAATTTTCCCATGACCTAGGCTATAAAAAAAAAGGAGTTGGAGTAAAGTTGAAGTTCACACTTGAAAAGTGAGCAACGCACTTACGTACTTGAAATTAGAGGTATCTATTTTTCGAGTGAAGATCCACAAGACTCCCGTCCAACAAAAAGCTAACACACACTTGACATTCATAATAATCGTAAATATAAAACCAAACATATCCAACAAAACTGTTCTCTCTAGAATAAAGGACTACCATGAAAAGTGCCCATAATCTTTTAATAACAATGCTGTAAAGATAACTACTGAATGTAGGGGGCATTCTTTTTACCTTAATGTTAGGTACAAAAAAGTGTGAGACCTGTCATGAGCTTCCAAGGAGCATAATAGATGGGAGGATTCAGGAGCAAAATTCATAACCATGTCTGAGTGTTTAGTGTTCCAAAAATGTAAAACATACGAGTCTGTCCAGCTTTGGTTGGTGGACTCCGAAGGCGAGTCTGTCCAGCTTTGGTTGATGGACTCTGAAGGCTCACCAGAATCAGTGCAGGCCTCAAGGCTCAAAAAACACTTATAGTGTACTTAACCGCCCAAAAGATCCTTATAGACTAATACTCAATATTTAAACAAAACTGCTTGAGAAAGATAATGTACCAACAGACTTTGATTTATCAGCTAAAAACTAACCTTAGAAGTTATCAAGCTAGTCTGAAACAATAACCAAAAGAAACTCTTTACATAAAAGTCTACCCTGCTAAAAGATTCACACTTTCGAAGCAGATCGATAGTGGCGCATAACATGAGAATACCTAGTGATGAATTTCATCTTTCCACTCAATTTGTGAATGTTGACCAACTAGCTGGAACACGATCAGAAGAAGTAGGCATAGCTCTAACGTTGATGTCGAGAGGCATGAGACGGTATTGAATGTCGAGATCTCTGAAAATCTTCATCAACTCTTCAATCAGGATAGATCTTCGAATAAATCTTTCTCCCATGTCTTGGAAGTTCATCCTATGAGTTGGCCAGATCGCCACTTTCACCATGTTCAGTTGATCATGATCCTTCAAGACTATAAAAGGCGAAGGATACCAGTGTTCTTTCTTATTATCAACGTAACTGCATTGAGGTCATTAACGGTTTTAGCTCATATATATATATATATATATATATATATAACAACAGATATGCATACATAATAAATGAGAGACATCTGGAAGTACATACCTATGTATTCTATGTTTCATAAGCGAAATCTTTTCAAGCGGAGTAGCTACATGGATACAGAATTCAATAGCATCTCCCATGTCAGGACTACGGTAGAAATTTTGTATAGCCTTAGTAGCAAGGACACTATTAGGGATCGTTATCTTTAGATTATCGTATCTTAAAAATACCGTAGTCAATATGTTCATTTCTTCTACAACCATCTGAAATAAGAGACAAAAATAGGGAGGGATACAATTAGACTATGTTTGCATTGCAAGAAAACAATCTATAAGGTCCTAGAGATGTAGACATTACCTGAACCGTATCAATTTCACATCTATCTCCCACGTCAAATGGATGCATTACAAATAAAAATATGATTGCTTCAAAGACGGTCTTGCAGGTGTTACCGAATATAAATGCAACCAAGACAAGCTGTGAGCTGACAAAAAGAAGAAATTTGGTGGTGGCAATTTCCAATATCAAGAGCCAAATAACCAATATGACAATGGCAACTAAAAAATTGAGCATTCGGTGAAGTTTGTTCACTGCCGTTTTGGTGTCATTCAATGTCAGAGCAAGGGCTCTCCTCTCCCTGAACGCATTCACCTGCACAAGAAAATGCACAATTATTGCTGTAAATACTATAGAAGAAAACCCATTATACTTGCATTGCATGTAACAACATGCACCAATGAAATAATGAGTTTGATTTTGAAACAATTAATTTCATATTTCGATGCAATAAATTTCATATTAAGATCCTTCAGAGCATGTGAGGACAGTCGTGTATAATTGAAAATGAGAACAAGACAAGAAGAATATAGGAAACATATCCTACTACATGGTTTAGGTATAGGTTGAGCCGTTAATTCTTACCACCCAGTTCTTCAAAGCGGATTTGCTGATTTTTCCTGAATCAGACGCTCCTTCAAAGAGATTTAAGGTTTTTACTGTTTCATCTTCTCGCATAAAACGAATCAAGTCCTCGGGGTATATAAACCTTCAATGCAACAAAAATGAAAGAAATAAAATTACAGATAAAGTATTAACAAACAATGGAACACTCGTCAATTATTAAATGTAATCGGGACAGGAAGACATCCTAATTATGGTTTTACATAGGTGAGTAACCTATACTTAAATCATGAGTTAATAATCATAGCAGAAACTAATATCAATAGTTAATAGCGCTTGCAAATGCTTAAAAGTATTGAATCATGAGTTAATAATAATTTGGAAGTAACACTAGATTAATGGATACCTGCAGCCGCGCCTAGCAACATTCTGAAAGATTTTCTTAGCAGCTGCTTTAGCCTCATTTTCACTTCTGATTTGAGTGGCATGCTCATCGTCGGGAGTGGAATCAAGTATCTGTTCATCCAATGTAGTAAGTACTCCGTGGCGAACCATATTCATTAACCTCTTCATATTCCAAGCAGACACATTATTTGGATTCAACTTATGCAAATGATCGATAGTTATTCCACCACCATTTCCAATCCCACCGTCATCAGACTTCTTAGAAAGTGGCATAGAAAACTTTCCACTTTTGAGGGGACTTTTCTGCAGCAGTCCACTCCTCAACCTTCCACTTCTGTTTGAAGGAAACGCAGTAGCTCTAAGATCAGCCGGTATGTTTGCACCGGCATTTTGCAGCTTCTGAACCTCGTCAGCAAGTCTTTCCTCTTCCTCTTCGGCCCTTCGAATTTCCACCAAAGGTGGCCCCGAGAGTGTTTCAATCACGAATTGATTAAATAGGGACTCTTGAATCCTATCGAAGTACGTGCTGACATGAAACGAAGAAGCTAAAACCTTAACCACTAGAGTTTTTAACAACCACACCAAAGTACCGACCAAAAAACACACCAAAACTTTGGTAACATATGGAAGAAAAATACCTTTTGTCTCTCTTTGAACTCTCTTATCAAAGAGAAAATGCCATGCAATCAAAACTAGTCCCAACCAGACACAATTTTGCACAGCTTTCTTCACACCATACACAAAATAAAGAACCCTTTTTCTCAATAAAAAATTTCTTTCTATGCAAAAAACGGCAATTCTAATAAACCAATCGGAAACCAATCTACCACAAATTAGAATAAGAATCATAACTTCCCATTTCCACAACTTAAGCTCCCACAAATTCTTATCCCTCAATAAAGGAACACTCATAGTTGTTATTAATGCGCCAATGATCAAAATCAAGCTCAACCATTCAAGAAGAATCCAAAAACTAAATTGTGTTTTCTTATACTCATCCGGAAAATCTTCTTCCAAAAACGGATCATCCTCTTCATCATCACCTTTCTTCCCAAGAAATCCGGACAAAAGTTGACCCGATTTAGCAACCCGACCGGATCTTCTATCAGGTTGTTCATCGGGCGGGTCCATTAATCTAGACTTAGTTTTGGTTTTCAACAAAGCAGATTTTCTCTGCATGGAAAGGTTCCTCTCAAAAGAAGCATTAGAGGTACACGTCAAAACCTCGCCATCACCTCCATCCGCCGGTGAACGCGAACGACGCGGGTCATGATGCGGCGGAAACGGAGGTCTAGAAGAATCACCCATAGACGGCGAATCCTTACTATGTCTCCTCCGAACAGGATCATTCGTCGCTTCAATAACATTATTAAAAGCCGGTGCCGGTGCTGGTGCTGGCGTTGGCGCTGATGCCGGTGTTTCCACCGCATTACTAAAAGCAGAAGCAGGCTCCTCAAACGAAACCTTGAGTTCCCGTTGTATCACCGTCGGAGACTCTTCCACGGGCGTCAACTTTCCGTCTCTATCTCTATCCTCCTCATTCTGTAACTCCTCCATTTCCAAATCCATATCAAGCGACATCTCGCCGGAAACCTTCTGCTTATGAAGAAACTTACCAATCAGCTGCGACGGAGGATCCTCCGGTTGCTGCTGCTGACCTTTATTCCTAAAATCAAAACTCTCCTCACCATTGTCTCCCGTATCATTCCAGAAATCATAGCTGGACTCTCTCCAAATCTTGTTCTCAGGCTCACCACCGTCGTCGATCTTAACGACGACGTCTCCGGCCATAGAAAAATCCTCACTGCGCCGACGCTGTTGAGGAAGAAGGATAGGGATGTGTTCACGGTCGTCGGAATCCGGCAAGTTTCTGGAAGATTTTTTGTTATAAGAAGCTAAAGATTTCAAGGATTTTTTAATGGATTGCATCAGGGTTAGGGTGTGTATGGAAAAAGATGATAATAATAATAATAATATTAATAATAATATTTAATAATAAATATAAAAAATAAAACATGCTAAAGTTTTTTTTTTTTTTTTTGAGTGGAAGGTGGAAAAGAAAGTAGGTATTTTTTGGTGACCAAGGAAATTTTTGATACTATAAAAAATATAGTACAGTAACGCTTTTTGATTTTATAAGAATTTTTGGATTGAAAGGTCCTTCTCAGAAGACGCGTGTTTTATGTGTTTGTGTTTATGTCAGTAACAGAACAGAGCAAATACAAAAATGCTGTTCTGTAATAACGATGATGATAATGATGGAGATTTATGTTTTCTTTTCTGAAAATTTGATTCAAGAGACTTGTGTTGTTGTTGTTGTTGGTGGTGGTGTAAATAACTAGAGTTTGTTATTGTTACTGTTTTTATGTTGGTGTTGTTCCAGTAATATGTTGCCGTTTTAGTACACTGTTAACCAATTCTAATTAGGTTATCGATATTTTTAACTTTATTTAGAATTAATTCTAAAATTATAGTACTAGAAATTAAATTAGTACTACTATGTAACAACTTTTTCTTTTTAATTTAATAAATTACAAAAATAAAATTTGGAAGTTGCATTTCATTTGATTTGTTTAAAAACAATGAATCCACACTTTTTAAGGAGCAGTGGAATTTTAAGATTTAAATGTTTTTTTTTTGTTTTTTTTAATTAGTATGCATGAATGGTATAAAATTTATAAACAATCAATTATTTTTTTAATTAGTATGCATGAATGGTATAAAATTTATAAAAAATCAATTAAATTTCTTGATCATCCGTAAAATCAGTTGATATTTAAGATTTTTTTAAGAAATATTTTAGATCAATAATATTATTATTCAAAAGGATCTAACTCAATAATAATAATACATATTTATTTTAAAATATTTGGTTAAAAAGTTTAAAATAAAGTAGAGAGATATTATTTTAGAAGTGAGATTCTTAAATTTCTTTTTATAGAATATTTTTTATTCTTTAATAATTGTGACAAGATAGTACTACGTGAGATTCTAATTTTTGTTGTTAATAGTTTTTCTCATTATCATACTTTAAACAATAAATTAAACAACATTTAAAATTTTATATTTTATATTTTATATTTTATATTTTATATTTTTATGATTATATAATGTTATTATTAAATTATAAAAATAATAATAATTTAATAATATTATGAACTCTATTTTTATAATGCTTCGACTCTAAAGTAACAAAAATATATAACATAAATATTTAATAAATTCAATCGGGTTTGGTTTTTAACATATACAAAATAGACTTAAATGCAGTTTTGACCCCCATAGTTTAATGTTTTTGGAGTTTAGATCCCCTAGTTTAAAAGCCAGGTTTCTAGTCCCCAAAGTTTTCAAATTTGGGATTTTTGAAGCCCCCTCCATCTGGCTGCCCAAAAAGTGACATGGCACAGGGAGAGTAATGCCACGTATTATTTTCTTATTTCTTATTTAGAATAATATTTTTAAACATTTAAATAAGTGATATTAATTTCCAAATGAATTTTTAATTTCATAATTCATATTTTCTGAAAATCTCAAATTGCTTAACCTAATTTCCTCTTCCATCCGCCCGTACGAGATTTCTTTTGATCATCTTCAACCCTCCTTCTTGGTACGACCTCCAACACTCCATCTTCGTCTTCCTTCTGTGGTACCAGCTTCAACCATCACACTCCTACTACATACTACCTTCACACTCTCTCTTAAAGCTTCGTATAATCATTCTGATATTTAGAGCGATGAGGAAAGATGGAGAAAGATATTCTATGAGGTAAGTTTTGTTGTCTTCTTGAACATGTTTTTATATAGTTCTGTGTGGTCCACCATTGTCTCATATTAGTGGGTTTAGTATTTTCTCTTTTGTGGTCCACCATGAACGAATATTCAATGTTTGGCTTTTAGTGGGTTAGTTTATTAACATTGTATTTTAATATTGTTAATTTCAGGCCACCACCAGAGACATTAGTGAGGTTAAGATTACACCATAGGGGTAGATTTGTAAATGAACCTGTACATTTGTATGTTGGGGGCGAGGTTACTGAGATGAATTGGAAGTTTGATGTTGACTTTATGTCATACATGGATTTGGAGGCACTGGTTAAAGGTCAGGGTTATATAGACATTGGATCTTTGTGGTATAGGAACCCTAAATTTAGCTTTACCCGTGGTCTAAGGCCATTAAACAATGATAGGGATGTACTGCAATTTGGACAAGATGTTGTAGGTCATGAAGTAATTGATGTTTATGTGGAGCATAAGGTGTCTGATCCACCTGAAATTGTGGATCCTAGTGAGTTGGATAAAGTAATTGAAGATGATGATGTAGAATTGATTGGTGTAGCAGAACCAAATATTGCTGTAGCTGAACATTGTGAAGTTGAACCTGAAACTGCTGAACATGAACCTGAACCAGAACCAAATATTGATGTTGTTGAAACTGCTGAACATGAACATGAACCTGAACCTACTGAACCCAATATTGCTGTTGCTGAACCTGTTGAACAAGAACCTGAAATTGTACCTGAACCTACTGAACCCAATATTGCTGAACCTACTGAACCTACTGAACCCAATATTGCTGAACCTGCTGAACCCAATATTGTTGAACCTGCTGAACCCAATATTGCTGAACCTACTGAACCCAATATTGCTGAAACTGAAGATGTTGTACCTGAACCTGAAATTTTTGAGCCAAATATTGCTGAACAAGGACCTCAAATAAATGCTGAGAGCCAACCCAATAATGATTTCAGTGAAGATAGTAACAATTGTGAGGATAGTGGAGAGTGTGATGAGATGGACTGGACGTCAGTGCTGCCTCCTGAGACCTTAGGTGAGGAACCTAGTGTAGTGAACCTGCAATCACAATCTGAAGATGAAGAGGATGAGGAACATTTATACACACCCCCTGGTACTGATGATGAAGAAGATCAAGAAAGGTTCCCAACATATAAAAGTGGGCAGGGATTACAGTTCAAGATAGGATTGATGTTTTCAAACAAGGAAACAATAAGAGATGCAATTAAAGAGTATGGAATGGAAAACCAAAAAAATGTCTATATCAGGAAGAATGATGCAAAGAGGATTATAGTTAAGTGTATGGATGGCTGCAAGTTTCACCTCAGGTTCAGTTTGAGGAATGGGCAACAGTATTGGCAAATTGTAAGTTATGAGAGTGACCATACTTGTTGCAGAACTGCAGACAACAGGAATGCTAAGACCCAATGGCTTGCTATAAGGTTTACACAACTTCTAAGGCACAGCCCATACATGAAACCAGCTGGTTTAGTCGCTGAAGCACTACAGAGATGGGGAATAAAGATATCAAGAGATCAAGCATATAGAGCTAAAAGGAGGGCATTGGACCTTATCCAAGGTGCTGGTTATGACCAGTTCAGGCACTTGAGAAGTTATGGAGAGGAGTTATTGAAGTCCAATCCAAAGAGTACAGTTATTATAAAATGCTCAGAAAACCATGGCAGTCCTGCATTTGAAAGAATATATATTTGTTTAGATGCTTGTAAGTCAGGATTTGCCAAGTATTGTAGACCAATAATTGGTTTGGATGCATGTTTTTTGAAGGGGGATTATGGTGGCCAATTGATGTCTGCTATAGGCAGAGATGCAAACAATCAAATATATCCAATTGCTTATGCAGTGGTTAAGGCTGAGACCAAAGATTCGTAGGAATGGTTCTTGCATATACTACTAGAAGATTTAAGAGCAGTCAATGATAGATGTTATGGCTTTATTTCTGACCAACAGAAGGTAACATTTAATTCTTATCTGTGCTTTTATTTATGACTAATAGAATGTAACATTTAATTATGTGTGCTTTATGTTAGGGTTTGGTTCCTGCTATCCAAGGCTTAAGTTCCAATGTGGAACAGAGACTGTGTGTGAAACACCTTTATGGTAATTGGAAGAAAAAACATGGAGGTGTGGTACTAAAACAAGCCATGTGGGAAGCAGCCAGAGCAACTTCAATTCCAATATGGGAAAGAGAAATGCAGAAATTGAAGCTTTTAGATGGTGGAGCATGGAAGGACTTGAATGACATTCCAGCAATGTTCTGGACAAGATCACATTTCAAGACATATGCCAAATGTGATATTCAAGTGAATAACATGTGTGAGGCCTTTAACAGGGCAATTTTGGAGCATCGAGACAAGCCAATCATAACCTTATTGGAAGGAATCAAACATTATATCACTAAAAGGATAACTAAACAAAAGGGATTATTGCAGGGATATGAAGGAGTAATCTGTCCTAGAATCCAATTGCTAATTGAGAAGCACAAAAGGGAAGCACAAGACTGGACCCCAACTTGGCATGGTGATGATGATCTCTCAATCTTTGGAGTTACCAATGGAACTGAGACATATTGTGTAAATCTGAAGAATGAATCATGCAGCTGCAGAAAATGGGAGTTGTCTGGAATCCCATGTTGTCATGTTATCTCCTGCATTTGGAACATAAGAAAAAAACCAGAAGCATATGTCTCTCCATATTATAGGTTTGTGAGTCACATGTTATGTAACATATTTCTATGTCCTGTTTATGATATGTTCTATTAACTCTTGCATGTGTAACATTATTTCTGTTTTGCAGCAAAGTTACATTTGAGAAATGCTATGCTAATATTGTCATGCCAACCAATGGACCACAATTATGGACTGATGTTGATCATGTGCCTATGTGTCCTCCTGTCATGAGAAGAGCAATTGGACGTCCAAAAAAGATGAGAATTAAAACAGGTGATGAGCCAAAGAACCCCCATGTGCTTTCAAGAAGCTTTTCAACTGTCACTTGCAATAAATGTGGACAAACTGGACACAACGGTAGGACTTGTAAGGGCAAGAGGGCAGCTGATAGGCAGATACCAAAAGGAGGCAATAAGAAGACCAAGCAAACAAAGACAACCAAGAAGGCAA